GACGTGAGAAAATTCTGTCTTTTTTAAAGACAAAAATTTTTGAGGCGAAATACCCAAAAAGAAGTTTGTAAAAAACCCTGTATTAAGAAAAGCACCCGTCTGAAAAAAAAATATTCTGAAAATTTCTTTCAACATCGTAAATATTATCTGAAATTTACCTGACGGCAGTTGTAAAATGTGGCTTAATCTGAAAAAACAGCGTTTTCCAAAAATCCTTCATTACCCTCCATTTTCTCGTGACCCAATTGGGAAACGTAACGCGGTTTTAAAAGTTTTGTCACCCTACTTATCTATTATTTTCCAAAATGTTTGTAAATATATAGCAAACTATTTCTCAGGTATAGCCTTGTATCACTTTAAAAAAACTCACCCTGTATACACACCTGGACAAAAGAAACTGGATGCGATAAAAATTATTCAATTTAAATCCTATTCAGCTTTTATCGTGTTGAATCGGCTTTGATAATTCTTTTGGGCTATTGGGGGCATTTTGATCTGAACGACTAACGAATATAAATTTTGTCGACAATTGTAGGTGATTTGTCATGATACAGGGTAAAACCAAGAGTTGTTTTTTTACCTAAAATTATGAACATGAACATGAACATGCGATCGCTTCATGTTTAATAAACATTTATTTTTTTAACTCATGATGGTACATCAACGGTAAAAGGTGTTACATTTTTTTAACAAAATAAAAAAAAAAACTTCTACAAAATGTCTATAACAGCCCAAAAAAACTGTCAAAATTGATTTGCAACTAAAAAAGATATCTAAGATTTAAATTGAATTATATTTATCGTGTTCGGTTATCGAAATATAGTTGGTGTTCTATAGCGGAATCAAAATATTGAACAGTTTTTATTATTGTATAGTGCCCCTATTTATTTATTAAATAAAATATGAAAGAGAAATAAAGCTACATAATCGTATAAAAATATTTTTACATTTAGACACATAATAATAATAACTTAACTTTGCTTCCGGAAAGAGTAATCTTGAGATCACTAATTGATCACATGGATTTAAAAAAATATTCAAATATTACTTACTATTAGTATATAATAAAGGATTTCGTGGTTCATTCTAATATCTAAAGTAGCGGATTTGCGTTTTAAAATTATACGCTTCAGACAATCATATAAGTAGGATTATAAATAGCATCAATCTGTTCTGTCTGAAAGTCTGAAAAACTACCAAAATTTTTGACTCTCTTTGTGTGGCTTGTTTTTAAAAATAACAGTAAGTTGATCCAGTGCTAAAAACACTGACCGCTACGCAGTTACCAATATGAACGCTAAACGCTGAAACGATTTCAATTAACGTTTTAAACTGTAATCGCTGAACGTTAAACAATATTATTTTTATTTTATACAACAATATTTGTTTTACTATACATTGAGCTCAACTTATTATTATTATGAAATTATTATGAAAAGTACATAATAATTTAAATAGGCTAACTTAAACTGTGTTTGGCGCTGGTACAGATGGCAAAAATCCGTTATGGTTGCATCGTATATTTTAGTTTTGAGGTAAAAGACAATAGCTTCAAATGTGAAAAGCACATAATTTTGCCTGCTTCCACTTTACTTTCATAGATGAAAAGAATATAATAAATTTTCTTCTGAAATTGAACACAATGGCGTTATGAACCATAGCCATTAACAGTTCAGTGCAAGCTGAGAATAAACAGAAAATTACGAAAGTCTCCTTAAACTATACTCAAAGACAACATTCAAATAACCGGCACATTCCTAGCACGTTTTTCTCTGACTGGAACTGTTGTTCCGTTAACGTATCATTAATCGTTAGGCTGGTTTACCTTTTCCCTAAATATGTTCGTTAATGCATCAACGGGAGTAAATTATTGCCCTAAAAGTTCATCCTTGAAGCAACCTCATAAAAAATACTAAAGCCGAGATTACAGATTAAAGATTACCTTACTTTCCATCGATGCTTACTATTGTATTTAGTGAAACTGCTAAAAGTTGAGATTCACCCGAGTTATAAGACCAAATTCATCTATGAAACTGTTAAGAGTTTCAGTCAAACCGGCCATGTTTCGCGTCGTCGAATATTTCCAAAATCTACAACTAATTAACATTTAATAAAGAACACACGCTTGAAAATGAACGTTTGTAATGGGGAGCTTCATCAATACGTTTATGTTTTGACGAATTATCGTCAACTTTTTTTCATATCTTCGAAAAATTACTGTTTTCGTTTTCGGCTTCAAGCATTGATGCCATTGCATTAATATTAAAGATTATTCCTATGGATTGAAGAATACAAAACGGTACTCTCCGATCTTATTTTATTGCTTTATTTTCCAGTTTTTAAACCGTAATTTGAATTAGCTCCAGAATTTGTTATTCGCTTATTTACAAAACATTCACCATGGCTTTGGTAAGCCACTCACCGAGGTTTCTCAACAGTCAGT